AAAATCATTTTCAGAAGATTTGACAATACAAAACTGCTATTCGATGATCTAGTTTTCCACAAAATTCCGCATCTTTAGACTACCAATTCAACAGTTTGTCCCCCCCCCCCCTCAAATGGTTGAGGAGCAGTCGAATGTACGCAGAGGAATGTTAGTTGCATTTTTCAGAAACAGACCTGAACTTCAAGTTTGAGAACACTTCCGCCAACCACAAAATTTGATTCAACTTTTAACGCAGCCTGAAATGAGAGTGCTAGTTGATGTGCTTGTATAAGAACATTAACGCAGTATTTATCGCATGCAATATCCAGCACCTTAACTCCAGTTTTCATATTCTGAACTTTATAAACATATCCACATCCGCCTTCACCGAGTTTCTCGAGAACTTTCCATTTTTTACCGATAAGTTCACCTCGTCTCAAACGTATTACCTTATCTGAACTCATCGCCCTTAATCTGCAATTATCCATCCACCTTATCAAATGCTTGTAAACTTTCGTATTCACACTGATGTGCGATTAAAACTCTCGTATGATCAGATCTAACCATTCGGTTACGATCAATCCAAAATCGAAAAGTTATCAGCTTCTGATCACCATATTGATCAGAGTTCTACCAAGTGATTGTTTCGAAAACATAGCGCATGTATCTTCAACAGTAACTTCCTACGGCTGTGAAAAACGGCTAAGGCCAAAGATTTGAGATCAGCGGAGAAGAAAACGAAATCATGGCGCTACAGGTGATCTTCACCACAATACTGACATTAGCAATTGAACAATTTAATCATCTGATTCATTTACTTCACAAACAAAGGGTTCGCAATAGAGATCAACGCCCACTCAGTTCCAATGAGAATTTGTTTTTAGAACTTTCATATTTAAAAAAATCTGAACGGTGATACGAATGGATAAACTAAAAAATTCAAAAATAAAACCAAAAACGAAACAACCTAAATTTAAGTACCAATCTCCCAAATCCGTATCCTTCACAACACTATAAATAATATAACCAACCACCCCCCAAAATGAGTATTATAAACAATGTGTTACAAAATCAAGTGATTCGTAATCATATTATAGTTTCTGATGCGAAAATCTCCATGGATCGATGACCGTAGTCAAAATTTCTTTTCGTTTTTATACACTATAAAGCAGTTTGTTTTTCGACTGATGATAGAATTCGAAAATTTTTCAGTATATTTGCTGACATATGGAAATTATTTGCGATACTTGTTCCTAGTCTATTTGCAATTCACTTTATTCCGCTTTGAATTTGTCGTAATTTCATTCATTGGAGCAGCTCGTTCAGACTACAAAAGGCGATCGCGATTAACTTCATCACTGATGCAAACAATCGTTGGGGTTACATGGCGTTTTTTGTATTAGATCATGCGAGACCACAGCAACAAAGTGAAATTGGTCGATGAGTTTTATTTCACGAAATTAT